CATGTTTTAGATTTGCTTCATGCTGAACAGGGAGTCTGAGGTAGAATCTGAATTTGCTGAAGCCTACAACTCCAATTCTACTATCTTAACCAGCCAACCCCTCCTCATTATTTACATATTTTTTTAATTCTTATTTACATATCAAACATTTCCTGTTGAAATAAAAAACTGGAAATGAATGGCATTTTCTCCCATTTAAAGCTTTATGTTAAAAGAGCAAATAGGTGAGCCTTACAGTATGACATCTTTGAACAGCTGACTTCACAATAACTTCAAAGAGTCACTTCACACTTTTAAAATGAAGAGTCAGCAATTGATCAGCAATACATAAAGAGGAAACAAAATTACAGGTATAAGGTTAATAGCTCATTTCTTTACTAAAGGAAAGCCCTAATAAAATGCAACACTAAGGAGCTGTGTTTTACATTAAAGGTGGTGATTAGCATTGCAGTCAGTACATGACTAGACTATGAGAACTCACTTGCAATAATGAACTCTGACCACTGGCTTTGATATGCATTACAGTGATGTGTGAGTTGACAGTGGAATTATTAGCTGCTCATTTCCAGAGTTTATTTCTGGGTCTTCCTGACTCAAGTTATTCAATAAAGCAGTGCATATGCAAATCTTATAACAAAGTATAGAAATCACAGATATCACATGAATTCTTCGCTGTTTTGTATCAGTATTATTTATCTAACAAGAAAATAAGGTTTTCCATAGCCCATAGATGTTAAACTAGTGCAATAAGGATCACGTCCAAAATCCACATAAATATGGACCAAAGTTTTAGTAAAACTGTCTCTCAATTTGTGATCTTCTCACTGATGTTGTACACTTCCAAAACATAATTCCCACTGTTCAGCTCAGGTAAGCCTACAGGGTCTAGTCCAACTATTATTAGAAATACTCCATATTATTTTATTCATATTCATTACAGAAAACAAATTTGAAAGATCAAGCAATTTAGAATCAAATACATACTGGAAGGAGCCCCACTATCTCAATTTTTGTCTGATGAAATCTGAGTTTCAGCTCTCAGACGTATTCACATCTTTAAATACCCTGAGTTTTCAACTACAGCCAAGTCAAGTATCATCATAAGAGAACACGCAGAAAAATAAATAGCTTTGTCTTAGCACATAGTAAAGTTATGCCTTCTAACTTCACCTGTGAGACAGTCAAGTTAACAATCATGACCCAGTATAAGCTTCCTGGGATAGTTCATTTAAAAGAACAACTTTCTAAATTAGGTAAGAATTTAAGAGTGAAAACGTGCCATACTAATAGAAGCTGAGAAATTCTCATCAACATTTATTACTAGGACAATTCTAGCAATCTGATCAGTACAGAACACAACAAAGTGACTGCAGGATTCAAAGCAGGAACAAAAACCTCAAGCCAAAGAAAAAAAAACACCAACTTTTTATCAGTACATATAATGTATATGGTAAGTTGACAGACACAGAAAAGACAAGATACCTAACGACAGCAACCTCTTTGAATCAGATCTTATACTGTTGAAGACGTTTGCTCCTACAGTGAAGAGTTCAATTCCTTATCCAAGTAAAATATACCAGAAGTAACACACAAAGGGAAAAGAAAACCTAATGGAAATTTTTAGTAATTCAGATAAGAAACATCTATGATTTAAGCTACTTGTCCCCTTAATTTCAGGGATTTCTTTTAAAAATCATCCATTTTAAAATAGCTAAAAGCAAACTCCACAATTACCATATTGGCCTTGAAGTCCACATTTTTTAACATAAAATATTAAAATAACATTTTAATATTTTTAACATAATATTTAACATAACATATTTAAAATTATCGAAAAAACAAGGCAATAGGATTTTAGAAGAGCTGTAACAATACTATCAACAATCCTTAAGGCCAGACTAGTAGCCTTAATACAAGCATAAAATACGCAATTATATGGGAACTGCTGCATCACAGCCTGAAGCACTGATTGACCACCTGAGGCACTGAGTCAGCCATGGAGCACAGGTGAAGGCAATTCAGCTGTGTGATGGAAGGGCTGGAGCCTGGCTGCACCTCTCCTAGACCCATTGAAGAGCTGGATACCAGTGGGGAAGGATCTCTGGGGGAAGATCCCCCCTTTGGAGTATTCCAGTAAGCCCAGGACAAGTGTAAGCCCCTTATCTATTATTTTTGCTGTAACAACCTACTTAGCCAAGCTCTCTTATTTATTTCTTAATTATAACACATCATTAATTATACAGCAATCAAAGGACAAATTCCATTTAAAAGTCATCCTTCCACTATGTGGCATTTTCTTACTAAACAAATACTAAGTATTTATAAAACTGCTGTTGCATGGTATAAAAGGTATACAAGCAAAACACTAGATTCATGAATGAGTATAAATAACCCTTGAGAAGAAAAATGAACAACAGCAAAACACTCACTTCCCACAAAACAGAGTTTTGTATCTTTGGATGTTCATATATTCAAAAACTAAAGGCCCTTATTGAAACATATTAAAGATCATGGGGTTTTTTTGTTATTTTAGCTGGGTTTTGTGTGATTTTACAGCTACCACCTCACGTGTGCTGGAACTTACCTTTGTGAGAGAGATAATTCTGCAGAACATTAGTGGGATATAGCTAGAACTCCATTGCTAAATTGAAAAGCAATAGAGTGGAATGGCTCCTGTACTACACAATGTTAAAAATAACCCTAAAAGTGGAGCAATAACAAATACTACAAGGTATTTTTTTGTATTCTTACAAATGTTAAATACTGAAGACATTTAAAATATACTTAGTATGCAACAGTATATCATCACAAGCTTAAGACATTAAAATACAATACTTGAATATCTGTGCTCTTGTTACACTGAAGTGTTCAAAAATGCTCAAAAGATGATTTGAAGCTTTTCCACTGGGATTGTTACAATTCTGTTGACTTACAGTGTCAGCTATGAACAAATGAGACTAACACTGGAGTGCATCTCTTCAAATGTTAAAATACAAATTCCTCAAATGTTCATGTCTCTACTGGGAAACACATAGGAAACTGAGAATGATGGAAAAAAGAAAAGAGATAAACATGAGGAGCAAGCAAGAAATACACTAAGATTAAAGAAGAGAGAGGGAGAAAAAAAATGAATTAGCTTAGCTACTTTATGGCACAAACAAATACAATAATCCTCACCCTCATCCCAATTCACTCTTGTTTTGAAATAAGGTAACTTGTTGCATCTAAAAATAGCTGTTAAGTGCTAATTTAACTTTTCATCATTTTTCAGCAATCTTCTTTGCTACTACCATTTCTTTCCCCCCATTAAATGAAGTCAAAGGAAAAAGCTTTCACTGTAGAAAGACATGGATGAAGTATGAAGCTGGAGAAAACAGACTTGATAAGAAGTGATCCTTCATCACTATCAACAGTATTAAAATACAGTAGCTTTCCTCACAGAGACATTTAACCCCAGAAGATTTCTGTCCACTTTTACTCATAAACTACCCATTACAATAGTCGCAGATTCTTTCCACATGCCTACTGAAAGGCAAAAGAGAGCAAATGTTCACTGAGCTACACATGTACCCACTTTTTAGCCACCAAACCAACATAGAATCAATTGTCACCTAGTGTTCATTACAGCATGTGCACGCTTCCAGCTTTCTTTGGTAGAATTTTGTGGAAACATGAATATATGATGGATTTTTGTCACAGGTTTGATGTATGGGCTGATTTCAGAGAAGCCAAAGAATCCAGAAAACAACAGATGAGAGAACAGCAGAAACTCTGCTCACTCAGAAATCCAGCAAAACAAATTATTCAGTGAAAGTTGGCTAGTAAGACACACAAGAATGATTACTGATGTGTTACTACTTGGATAATAGCTGATCCTTAGATAACAGTACCAAATACAGTAGTAGCTAAAATTATTAGTAGTTCACTGGATACCCACAGTTATCTTTAATAATACCAAGAAAAGAACTTTTCCTGGCTGTTATACCTTGATGAGCATGCATCCATTGACCATCTATATTAAGTATAATGGCAGGCACACAGAGCTCTCAAAGTGTATTCATTAGGCAGAGGAAGACTGCTATTATCACATCCAGCATTCTGGCTACAGAAATATTTTATTGTAAAATAATTAGAATATCTGTAGGTTAATACTAAAGATAGAAAGCTTTACTATTTGTGTTAAGCATAAAAGCTTGCAGCAGCATAATCAGACTGCATACGATAAAAACAGAATTAAATACTACCTTCTCTGTAGTCAAGCTTTTTAAAATCTCAAGCAACTCAATTTCCTAGTTGATTTTTAGTCTACTCAGTACACTAAAAGCACCAAAATAATACCATAAAAGACCAAAAATGATGTCCTCATCTTTTGCAATAGAAGTAGTGGGAGAACAATTAAAATTGTTTTTTAATGTTGTATTCATTTTAATCAATCAAAACAAGACAAGACTTCTAAACTGTAACACTATCTGACACCATGAAATCAGTGAATGCAAAAAGAACCCAATTTTTTGGGTTGAAAAATCAGAGGAAATGAATAGCTATGTGTTCCATCACAGCCTAAACAATGAACAACAGGTAGGAGACACTAAGATGTCTTGAAACATACTGAGTGTGCCTATACCAAATGTCTCACAGTATTATCTTAGATATTCAGGAACTTAAAGAGGATAGTGTATTTGCAGAGGAACTAAATATCTTTTAAGTTACTTAAAAGGTATTAAAGTTACTGTTTAAAATGTTTTTTAACACGTTAAGATTTCTATGATTTTAATACAGATTTAGCATATGAAATATTAAAGACAATCAGACATATAATAGTAGCTCAAAAGCCATAAGGTTATGTTCTATCTCAAATTTCCTATACATTTTCTACATCTCCTCTGCGTCAGTCAACAGAGTAATAAGTGAGTGAGATCTACATTACTGTTAAGTCCTAAGTGAATGAACTACACCGAAACAAATAAGTCAGAACAGCAAAGAGTAGATAATTATACCACCTCACAGAAGAAGGGCTGTGTTCAGTCAGGGCCACCAACAGCTTCAGAGCATACAGTGGTACTGGGTCTGGAGTCATCAGGATGTGCTCATACCTAAAGGGGGAAAGTGAAGCAACATTTTAAAAACACAGAGCTGTGTGTTAATAAGTTTATTACAAATACAACAATTTCACATTTCAAATTTCATAATAGCCACAGTAGAATAACAATGCTGTTAGAAAGCTCATGAAACAATAAAAAACCAACTTAGAAGCAGGATTTAAAAACAGCTTCAGATTAACTTTTAAAACAGCATTAATAAAAGAACTAACGGGTTTTTCCATATGGAGATAACCAAGCCTCACAGTATTAGCCAGAAGGACCATCAATCAACACACACATGATTAATAGCTACTTTTTGCTTAAATATTTATTTTTTTTCTCCAATATTTTACTTGAGGAGTATTTGCATTAAGCTCTGTATTTTATTTCAAATTTAATTCAATATTGTTTTAACTATAGCATACTTGTATTACCCAAGTGACATGGAACAGAACAACACAAAAATAGCGTTTACCAAGAGCCACAGTATTCAAGATAATACAAGGTAAACACCCATGAAACATTTCAAAATATCATCTCCTAGATACCTTGATGTAATGCTCTAACATAATGGAAAACACAGCAATAACAGCAGGGAAGCAAAGTCCTCAGCTGCAGCAAATGAGGACAAGCTCAAAAGCAGCAGCCATTAACACAGAACCAAAGGAAAAAAAGCTGCTTACCTTAGGAAGGCCTCAGCTAAGCAGGGGTCTCCAGCAAGATACCCTCACCTCCACTGCCAGCCCTTAAATGAGTTCTGGGAGGGGGTGGATCCTGGCTCCAGCCCTTCCAATCACTCAGGTTCATTACTTGCACCTGAGCTCCCCTGGCTTGGCCCTGCCTTCCCACCAGGTGTTCAATCAAGGTCCAGGCTGTGACTCAGCATTTCCACTACACTTGGTAAAGAAAAAGGAAAACAGGCTGCTGATAAACAAAATGGACCTTGCTGTTGTTGCCCGTTTTCCAGTAATGCTCATTCAATAAACAGGATTGTATTTATCTTTTTAAAATCATAGTGTATCTGGAGGGCAAGACAATGATGATGGAAGAGAGAGAGATGTCAGCTTAAAGGAGACAGATGCAACCATATCAAAACTTGTAATCTGATTATAAGCAGAGCTACTCTAAACATGTGGAAGTTAACAGAAGAGAAAGCACAGATGTGTTGGTTTGTAAGAGAAAAACATGAAGAATTAATCAATAAATCATGATTTGTAAGAAGGTATGGTAGATTATTTTGTGCACCAAAATGCTTCCCTAACATTTTTCCTTCCTTGGGTTCTGGCGAAGGAGGGAGGAGGAGGTGTAAAAATCAAGGAAACTGATGAGAAACGTGCTTCACATGTTGAAATTCCTCATCATGACTAAACGAGGAACCTGCATCACCTGTCACCAAGCTGGCACGTACTTTGTATGGTATGCCAGCTCTTCCATGGAACAAAGGTTCCCCCTTTGCACCTCAGCATTCTGATCTGCACAGGAAAGAAATCTAGAAGGCTATAATGAGATGCGGTACTTTCTGGCTCCATCTCTCATCTGGATGGCTCTCAGACATGAAGGGTCGAGCACTCCAATTCCACACTCTTGATGCAGCCTGTGGGATTTCATTCAGAAGAAACAAATATTCTCACACTAGCACACAGCCTACAAGCAGTGCCTCACAGCTTCTCTGTATTAGCCTAAATGTGCTGCCATAGACTTGTACAGCACTCACATGCTGGAGAACCTATGTTATTGGCCAATGACTATACAATGTTAGCTTATGTTTCTGGCAACCAGAATTTCTCCTTTGCAAACAACAGATTTCAGCTACTGAAGGAAAACTGTTTCTCACTGGTAATTAAAAATTCCCTTTCCTCATAAAAGGAGAAAATACCATGATGCATTAGTAAACACTGATGCTGGAACACTGCACACATGCAGTACGTATTCCTACCAAGCATGAAGGAACTATCTGTTTTGTTGGTTTTTTTTTTTTGCAGGATCTACAACAAAATGTTCTGGGATAAGCAAAGGCGCTATATGGTAACTTGGGAATCAGAAGTCTTCGGCTCACTTAGTAAGATGAAGATTTAGCACTCAAAAATGTTAATTCTTAACAGTAATAATGCATCAGGCATACTAGCTTGAAACTCTGACATTACTTGTTTTATACAAACATGTATGTTTATATAAATACACTTGTTTTTCTTATGCCAATATCTTCTCTAAATTGAGTCCACTTAAAACTCTTTAAAGCCTTCTGTGTATTCCATCTGAGAGAGATTATTACTATCCTGCACTTAGCATCATAATTCCTTGGAGTTCAAAAAATGAGTCTTATTTAATTCCCTCTTACATCAAACTCTGTTTTTTCCCCAAAGATAATTAGAAAAAAATACAGAAGGAGCAGTGATCTAACAAACCAAACACCACCTGAGAAAGCACAGATTACTAAAGTGAATTTCTTAGCAATTAATGTAAACACATTTCCTGAGTAAAGGTCATCATCAACTATGAATACGCGAATCTGCCATGAAAGGGAAATGTTCTGTGCATAAAGACTTTATTAAATGAATGAGTTCACCCAGTGGTTTTCCAGCCCCTTCAAAATGCAAACTCACTGAGTAACAGCAGTTTCAAAGAGCATTTTATAATGGTCCTCCTAGCAATATGACCACAAAGAGTTTAGTCAGTCTTCACCACAAGTGACAAGCGGACCTAAGGGTTGTAAAATATGGATTCTCTTCAGCTCTTAAAAAACTAAACATTTTATCTACACATTATCTCAAATATCCAGTATTTTCTACTTGCAGAATTGGCTTCAGAGTCTGCTTGGAACAAGATACATAATCTTTGACATGAAATAAAACCTTTTTTTTTTTTAATAAACACATTCTTCTCCTGTCATTGGCTCAAATTAACTATGTTGAATAAGTAGGAAAATTAATAATCAAATGAGAAAAAGATGGCATTTGAATTTCTGATTTAAAAAAAAATATGGATCAGAAATAGAAAATAAATGAGGACATTCTTTTTATAGAAGAAAGTTTCATTTTGGTTAAGGGATGCTCAGAAAAACGACTGCTCAGTGAGGTGAGATGAAATGACAGTTTCACTTGAACAAAATCCTATGAGCAAGTTAATCTTTTGATCTTCAAATGTACAAATATTCAGTGCAAGAACCATCTTACTGATTGTGCAAAGATGTGAAAAAAGTAGTAATCGCTTTTTTGTCCTGCATTTATCTCAAAAAGATTACAATTTATATTCATGCAGAGTGACCAAAATTCTACTCCATGGGTCACTTTTACATTTAAACAAATTGCACTGTTAAGCTTAGATGCTCCTCAATGGCTCTCAGTTATTAAAAAGCAGGATTCCAGAGTGCCCAGGTACAGCCATTGCATTCCTCCTCTCATGTTCTGATTGCCCTCCAGCTGAGTCACATCCTGTCACATCCTTTGTCCAAGAACAGAAAAGCTGAACAACTTCAGCAAACACCTCTTCAGTCTCCAAACACAGGCCAGCACTCTCTTTACTTTCTATCCCGGAGTCTTCCTGCAACTCTTACTTCTTGGGGTAGAGATTTATGTTATATCTTTAAGCATAAGTCTGAATCTAATCTTAGACCTCCCTCTGTAGTTTGGAGCAAGTGCCCTTTGCATTCAGATTCTTTTGAGAACTGTAGATACCATACGAGAATTCATTCCTACCTCCCATAAATATTTTCTGATCCATACCTAAAACATTATTGAACAAAACTTATCTTTACTATCTTCTTGACATTCAAAGCATTCTCTTCTCTTCGTCTTCGTCTCCTTTTCTAATATCTCTCAAAACAGTTTTGAGACTTTCAAATCAAAACTGAGTTTTCCATTAGTCTTTCAATGCTTTTGGTCCATCTGTGCTTTCCTGCACTGATTACGTGCTCCCCAAAGCTGAATGCATTTACTAAGCATTAGCTCAACCTACACGTTCAAGTAATGTATTTGTACACTATTTGATTGTTGATTCTTTCTGAATTATATATTCTTTTACTGTGCTCCTAAACTGGAGTAAAATTTGTTTATAACTAGTTCCAATATATTTAAATTATCATAATCTTAAATATTTTTAAGATAATCTCTAAATGCTTTTCAAATACAAGTATCATCATCTCCACTGGTGACATAAAGGAACTGATTCAGGAAATATTTAAAACAAGCCTGGAACCAAGATTCTGAGCTACTGCAAGACCCTTTTTACACATCTACAATACATATCCAAAGATATTTCACAGCTGTTTTCTCCAAAGTACAACTGCATTTAGTTTCAGACTGGAAAGGTCTGCCACCAAATCGAGCTAATGAGCAGAAGAAACTGCAGTACATTGCTTGTTTTCTTTCTAGTTCGCAGCTGGGACAACCCCTCCCTCAGTTCAGTGAGAAAGCATTTTATAAGATGGGCACATCTTCAAAGGGCAAGTTTCAAAGCAGACAGAAGCTGGTCTTGCTTGACTCAGACTCTTCCAAATCTGAAGAAAATTGTGTCAGCTTTTAATAATGCATAAAACTCTATTCTTTAATAATATTTCTACTTTCAATTTTAACCCATATTAATAAATCCCATGTTTTCAAGTGAAGAAATAGTGTGAAAAAGGTGTGAAAATAAACTTCTCTATACATCTGTGACTTCCTTCCCATTCTCTCTCACAAAGGAAATACTACACATCCTGCATGTACTAAACTTTAATCCTCAGACTGTAAGAATGTGAGTCAATTAGCAAGAGACAGCTTCATTTATATGGAAGACACTAAGTTTCTGATCATAATCCAGCATCCGTTCCTCCGCCCTTCTACCGCTTACTTAATATAAGGGTGGGGAACAATTTCCTCATTTAAGGCAGTGAAGTATTGACAGCTACTAACTTCTGAGGACCACACATTAAAATACACTGTAACATTATCCTGGAATAGCGTGAAAGATAACTGAAGGCTCATCTTTACTGTACTCATCCTATGTCTGTGTTTTCTCTCCCTCTAGTGAGATGTTATATGTATACACAAGAATAACATACGGAGCTCTCTTTATGCTCACCTGCAAGTCATTTTGAAATGACAGCCCCCATTTTACCGCATGCCATATAAATCAAGTTCCAGGTCACAGCTGGCCCACAGGCTGTAGTTTCATAGACTAGGGTAGGGTTTTATTCCTGCTTGGGGCAGCAGGAAGGGCAGCAATTTAGAGGCAATAAACTTGGAGTGAATCATGGAGGACTAATCCATCATGTTCTTTTCCCGTTTCCAAAGGTATAAGCCATTCCATATGATCTCTCAACATCTTCCAGGAGGGCACAGTATCCAAAGTACAATTGAATTATTCCAATTTCATCAGTTGAACAAGGAGAATATATTTAAATCACAGCTAGGGAAACTTGCTTCACTACAATAGTAGCCAGAGGCACAGTATCACCAAGATGCAAAAATGAGTGTCAGACAGAAACCGTGTTTGTGTTACATACAACCAAGTACTGAATAAACCTAGGAGAGAGATGTTTCTGGGCAGAGAACTCTGACAGTAGTTAAAAGCCATTCCTTTATTTCATTTTGCCACTTAAACATGAAACTGGCATTCAAAACAAATATGCTGTCAAAATGGATTGAATATCAAGTTTTCTCCCACTGAAACAGCAATGTTGTACTTACTGAGGCAGCAATGAATCTCTAATGAGAGACAGAAGCTTCCTGTTTGAGTCGAGGCTCTCCTCTTTCTCCTCAGCCATAACCTTGTGGTTTAAGAGTAGTGATGTGGTTTCTGAGAGCAACCGCAAACTGAAGAGTCTCCATTCCACTTGAAAATAAAGGTGCCAAGAATGTGACCACACTGAAGTTTAATTAAAACAAAATGTGGAATTCATGCAAACTGTAGATGACGTGGCTATATACTTACCATTCTGACTGTGGACCAAAGAAACTAGTGGTGGGAGGATGCAGCCTTCAACCTAAAAGAGAGAATTAAAAAAAAATCTGGCTTAGATTATTCACAGGGAAAAAAAAAAAGAATAAAAGAGATGTATCTGTATTCATTCCACTGTCAGAGTCCTTAATCAAAGAGGTGAGTAATCATAGAAATTCATCCATAATCACACTTACAAAGCCACAAAGTAATTTTATCCCTGGATTGTAAAGTTGCAGACAGTAAAGTACTTACACAGAAAAAAAAAACAGTGAGTTTGTTAGAATGTACTGAGAGTGAATTTTAATTTATAATATCAGATTCAGTGCAGATGTAAAAGAAAGTAACCAAAAAGAGCATGGGCGCATCTACTAGTCCCAGTGTTTTAATCCATAAGCTAGAAATCAAGTAGAACAAAGAAGAAATATGAAGCAGGGCCAGTGGCGCAATGGATAACGCGTCTGACTACGGATCAGAAGATTCTAGGTTCGACTCCTGGCTGGCTCGGCTGCTCCTTTTGCCCAGAGATGTGGTCATGGAAGCCCCATCCGCCGAGACACTCAAGGTCAGGCTGGAGCAGACTCTGAGCAACCTGTCCCTGTTGTCCCTGCTGTGGGTGTCCCTGTTCTCACTGCAGGGGACTTGGACTACGCGACCCCTAAGTGTCTCCTTCACCTCAAATGATTCTGTGATCTTACGGAACATCCCTCTTAGAGAAACCTGTACACAGCTAAAATGTACCAGGAAAGACTTACTAGCTCTAATGCAATATAGTCAACCTTAGTAGAAAGTCTTGAGAAAACTTTAACTTCTTCATTTCAGGTAATATATAGATTTTCATTAAAATTTAAGTTTACAGAGTCAAGATTTGAACTACGGAGGAAAAAAAAACCTCAGTAAATTCTTTATTAATCGTGAGTTAATCTGAATTACAGATTAATCATGTGTCATAGTCAGCTTAGTTACATTTGAAATCAGATAGTTTTATATATTTAAAAATAAATAAACAGAGTACTTCTGTATTTTATCTAATACGATACAGCACTAAGTCATCAGTGAAATAACATTTACACCAGACAGGCTTTAGAGATTTCAATATGGAGGAGAAGCAAAAAATTAAATAACTGCGTGAAAAATTGGAATGACGTATTTTCATATGACTACAATGTCAAGACATTTACTGTGATAACTTAGACCCAATCCTTTGTTTAGGACAGCCTTCAGATCAAGTAAAAAGCCACAAGAAGTTTTCTGAAGAAAACTGTTTTTCCTACTTCTGGGGGCCTGAAGTAGAATTCAAAAGCAAAAGAAAAGAAATATTATGGAAAATACTGCTCATTAATTCTGTTAATTCCAGACAGAGATCATTTGAAGGGATAGGTCCTAAATTCTCGAGGGTAGCCAGTCTCCATTGCTTTGCAGAATTAAGAGGTTTAGAATCAAAATACAGATCCCTTGCTGCTTGTTAATGATCAGTTCAGATCTTCAATTGATATTGGTTTGGAAAGGTAAGCATCATGGATACACAGCTGACCTTTGGAATTATCGATATACATGAAATTACTAGATAGGCTTTTACTACGCCACAAATAGGATTTGGTGCAATGTATAGCTTATAATTCCCTATACGTTTTGATTTATTGATTAACCTCTAGAAGATACAACTCTAGAGTTATGCAGCTACTATAAAGAAAAAGCCAGAGAAGATTAAAACATAATGAGGGGTTACTAAATGAAACAAGACTCCAGTCAGCAGTAGCTAGAGCCACTCTAGTTAATTATTTCCTTGTTAGTTGGTGGTCTCTGGTAAATGAATGCCCAGCTTTAAAGGATTCATTTAGTCTTTGGCTTTTTTTCACTTCTGAAAAAACTACCAAAAGATGCCTTTGTTACATACTTTCAATAAAAGAGGTAAAGGTCTCTGCTTGAGGTATGGCAATCAAACTTCACTTGCAAGCACAGATAGCCTTAATATCCATATAGGTAATGATGTAGCATAGATGTAGCATAGATGCTTTTGTAAACATTATCATTTTGAAATATTTCCCTGACCTTTCAGTCAATAGGTAATACGATAAAAAATAAAACTTCATTGCGCTCTAGCAGATCCATTTGTGCAGGTTTCTAAACTGTTTTGCAAATGGTAATTTATCATTTATATAACAAACCTGTGAGGCAAAAAATATATGCACTTCAGGTCATTTAATCCAAAAATCTGTTCAATCTACTGCAAAGTTTCTCAAATGAAAAGGTTAATTTAAGTAGTAAACCAGAGAAGAAAAGCGAAAGAGCATCTCTAATTTTTCTGAAGCAACATACAAATGCGGAATATTCAAAATCATTTAGCAGCAGCATGAACTCAGAATTACACCGATTAAGATGGCAGCACACAGCAGTATGATACAACTTGAATTTTGATAAACTTTCATTTTCATACAGTATTAGCAGTAGTCTTTCTACATAGACCACAGACTCACAGAGTGGAAGGGGTTGGAAGGGACCTCTGGAGATCATCTTCTAGTCCAACATCCTGCTAATGCAGGTTCCCTACAGTAGGTCTCACAGGAAAACGTTCAGGCAGGTTTTGAATACTTCCAGAGAAGGAGACTCCACAGCCTCTTTGGGCAGCCTTTTCTCTGTTACCCTCACAGTAAAGAAGTTATTACTTGTGTTCACGTGGAACTTCCTCCTTTCCAGTTTGTGTCCACTGCTGCTTTCCTGTCACTCTTGACACCTGCCCTTCAGATATTTATAAGAGTTGAGAAAAGATGCCCCCTCAGTCTTCTCCAGGCTGAACAGCCCCACATCTCTCAGCCTTTCCTCAAAAGGGAGATAGATGCTCCAGCCTCTTCATCATCTCTGAGCCCATAACTGGACTGTCTCCAGAAATTCCCTGTCTTTCTTGAACTGAGGAGCCCAGAATTGGATGTGACCTCACTGGGCTAGAGTAGAGGGGTAGGATCACCTCCTTCAACCTAATGTAGTAAAGCCGTTTTGTTTTCCAAGATAAACATATTGTAACTGTCATTGTAAAGAACACGCTTTAGGTCTCAAATAATTTTAGTAGCTTTTTCTGACCTTTTCATAACACAAAGCCCATTTTTGGCAAATAAACAGTTCCGACTGGCATTCTCCACAGCAGGTGCTCGTCGCAATCAGTTTGCTGCAGGGGCACTATTTCTGTGGAAAATTATTTTGTGACGCAACAGCACACCAGAATGTACATGGTGAAGGGACTATTAAATTGTATATTAACATCCAGTTCAGCTTTATACTTCCTAACTCTGCAGCCCCTCTCTATTCTTCATGCCATTCAGGTCACTGAATCTGCTGTGGGTTTTTTGTTCTTTTTTTTTTAACTAGAGTGCACACCATTTTGAAAACAAGATATGAATGTCAGCTGGAGTGTAAAACAGAAAAACATAACAATATTGTATCCAGTACTTAAAAATAATTTTAATTAATGAATCAGCAAATTGCATGAGTTTCTGGAAGCTTTGTATAAGAAGCATGCGATTACTCTTTTGGTACTCTCACAGAGATTCAAACAAAGAATACTGATGTAATGATTCATTTTTTCTTCTTTTAAATGGCTGCTGAAGTCTTTGGAGTCAAATCTCCATGTAAGTGAAGGTATTCAGACATTTTTCTAACTTCCTAAGCTGAAGCTGTATCAGTGTTTTTGCATTTAATACAGCTTACTAACCTCTCTGATAAATTTGTCCAATCCTATCCAAATTTTATTCATACTGCTAGCACGTGCAATACCTACAAGCACAGAATTCCATATGACAACTGTGCCTTACAAAAAGACTCTTCTTTATTTTAAAACATCTGCCTCATTACCTAACTTGATACCCACTAGAAAATCATGAGCAGTTATTTTTAATTTGTCTTTCTCATTCCGTTCATTATTTTATATACTCCTTCTTCCACTTACTAGCTACAAGCTGAAGTTCTTATCTATTCAATTCCGCCCTGCATCACCAAGATGTACTTTTTCTTGTTCCCTTTGAGAATAATTGACCACAGCTGTATTCAACATCCGGGATCTGAAGGCACCATGGACTTGCCCTAGCACAGTGATGTTTTCTGCTTTTCTCTCTGGTCTTTTGCCAATCATTTCTCATAATCTAGCTACCTTTCTGATTATGGCTGAGCATTAAGTCACTGTTCTCATAGAAAAAACTATGCTCAAAAATAGACAGAATAGTTACAAGTAGTTTAGAGCCTGACATTATGTATGCATAATTGGAATGATTTTCCTTAAATGCATTGCTTGACATTTATCAGTATTGAATTGCATGTCATTATGTTATCCTTCCAGTCAGTATCTTGAAAATCTTTTGCAACTCTTCTGTCAGTTTTGGTTTTCACTACTGCAAATAATGTAGCAATATCAGACAGCTCCCTCACCTCACAACTCATGCCTTTCTCTTTATTACTTATAAATAGCACACGCTACAACACAGATCCCTGTAAAGCATTTTCCTTCACATACCTAAATTTTTAACAGTGATCTCTATTCTCTACTTAGTAAATTTTAACTACCTAAAAATAACTGATGAGTCAGAAGATAAGGGGGAAGGTTCACTCGTGGATTTTAAGACTCTTTGGTGCACAAGTGTTAAAAACTTTTTGGAAATCCAAGTTCAATATCCAAAATCACAGCACCATTTTAATGCAGATTCCTGCAAGAAAAACTCTACTAGCAAGGTCTGAGCACCCAGCAGAAGCTGTGCTCACTCTTCCACATTTTCATCAACCTCACAAATCAGATCTTGACACAATTTTATGATTTCTATTGTTGATATTCCACATTACAACATCATGTAATGCATGGGGAGTTGAAGAGTTAATGTTTCAGTTCCATGGGTTGTCAGTATTTCTGGGTACCTGGTTCTCAGAAGAGAAGAACTACATCTCCCAAAAGACTTCATTGTTCTGCTGTCATTTTCTGAGCAGTTTTACCTTTCCTTCTGAACAGAAGTCATGAGATTGCCCCTTTCTTTTACAGCTCACCTCTGCGATATGTGTTCCCTCGCC